TTTGCAGGCATAAAGGCAAGCTTACTGATGGCTGCTGCTGATGAGATGTTTGTGTGTGATAGCATGGCTATTTGCACAGGCAACAGGCAGTCTGGGATGTGCTACAGAGTACTTAGAAACTGAGTTTGTTAGGAGTGAAGCTTGCAATAGGCCTGTAATAGCAGGTGAAGGAAGGTTAGCCCAAGGATATCTATCCTACATGGAAACTCTGGGAATGTACTCTGAACCTGCAGAGTCTGTGTGAATAGTCATTGTTAGTTTGAGTGATCTATCTAAAGGGCCTTTGGTCAAACAGAGCAATGCAGCCATTGAGTTCCTTAGATGAAGGTTAAGAATGGTATGAAACTCATACAGTTGTATGGAATGTCTGTATACTGGATATTCAAAACTTATTACAGTCAGAATTTGTTGCATTGTTAACATCAATTTACGTCTTTCACTGTATGTGAAACTGAAAGCATTCACATACAGCCAATGCATGGGACTGGTGTGAACAACAGCATGACACTGTCATGTGTGTCATGCAGATGTTTATGCATACAATTGATAGCACTTAAAATATCATTTCCTCTTTTGCTGGGAAGTAGCACATGCATAATCGTGTTGTACAGATTTTAGTCTTTGTGTTTACAGTTTATTTCTGTATTAACTTTTTTTTTGTACACAAGTGTATGCATAATAATAGTAATATATGATTTAAGAGAACTTCACCATCTATCTTTAATGAGAGTGTACTTTTGTTACCTAGCCTGGCCAAGTGTGGACAGTTTGCCCGTGTACCACAGAGTCACAGTGGCTTCTTCCCATGCTGTGCAGTTGACACTTAAGTCAAATTTCATCTTTAACTGCATCTGGAGAAATGGTATGGGCTTCTGCCTTCCTCTTGCAGATGTCAGGGGAGACATAATTCAGAAGTAGCAGTGTCAAGATCATGATGAGCAAAACCAGGGAGAGGGGGTTGTTTGTAAATGGAGATAGACATCAGTTTTTTTATTTTGTTATTTATTTCCCTAGCAGATCACAGAAACTAACAAGGTGAATTTTTATTCTGTTAAAGGGCTTGTTTCAAAGAAAATATTCTCTAGATTTTATGTTGTTCTTCACAGACTCTCAATTTTCAACCATCTTACTCTTTTTCAAGGATGCTACTATTTCACATCAATAACTGACACCTTTATTTCAGAGAACAAAATAGAATTACACTCCAGCACTGACAATATAATAAATCAGGAGGGATAAAATACATATTAGTGAAGTTCATGTAGTTGGTTTGTCCATGATGACCTATAGATATAAAGGTATGATTAAGTTTTTTTGGGACTGCTTCTTTTCAATCTTGCACAAGATTTAGCTTCAGCTCAAAGATTTGACCTTTTCTGCTCCTCTCTGCTTACCTTGATTCTTTGAAATTACTGTTATTCCCTTGAAGTCTTTCTGCTCATACAGAATTAATACTTTGTTGTGACAAAATAATATCTACTTGGTAGAAGAATGATTCCATCTAGAGTTCAGTTGGGTTAAACATGGTGCACATCTGAGTGAATCATTTTTACCCAGGTTTTTTGATCAAATAAATTTTGGCAATCTAATCACAAAGTGTCCTGCTGGGTAGTTACATACCTGCTTACAATTATAGTCTGGGCAGCTCACTTGTTTCTTATGAACTATGGTTGAAAAGTGTGCCTAACAAAGCACTTTGTCTTTCAGAAGAGTAACAGAAGTGTCAAAGACACAGTTTTAGTCAGAGTATTAAAATATTTATTAAACTTCTTGGAAGTATTTTTAGTGAATAAGTTCCTTGTGGTTCACCCTATTGTTAAAAGGAAAATAAAGGAAGCATGAAAACATACATGGAGTACTCCTGAGGAAAACAATATGTAATATGTTTATGTTTTCTCTACAAGCAATAAGATTACCATAGAATTCAGTGGGACTATCCGGATTCACTGTAGCTAAGTGTATGATCCAAAACAGCTGTTTAGGAAGAAGCAGTTACTGAAAGCACATGGGTTTTCTTGCACTAAGATTTTTGTTGCTTTTAATGTTCTTTCCATTATTTTCAGTGCTGTGTATCATTTTTTGAATGTACTTGTCAAGTTACCTGTGAATCAACTAGTATCCTCGTCATTAAACCTGTGTTCTCCTTGAAACTATAGCAAGATAAGTTCCACACCATTTCCTTCTAGCCTTTCCATTTATATTATCTACTTGAAGAATTTAAGCTAATGTAATAATGTCAAATTGTGATGCATTTGACTACATGCTTTTCTTCTGATAAGAAATAGGCTAATGTAATCAGCAATTATTTTTTTGTGTGACCTTTACAAATCAAATGGTTATTTCCTTACTTTTCATTTGTATTTTGCTCCCAGTGGTGCAAGACTGCCACAGCATAAAACATAATTTATAGATAGAATCACGTAACGCTAGGGCTCAATATTTTCAAAAGCCTATGTACCACATGGACTTTCTAATGAAATAATTTGAAGAAATGTATAAGCTGGGCAATACTAAATTTACACTGCTAATTCACAGAGGAGTTTCCACTGCCAAGTACTGGAAGATGAAGGAGCAATAAACTTGGTCTAGGATAGATCCAGTGGCAGTAATGGAATTACAGCAGTGAAATGCCTTAGTGGTAAGGATCTGTAGTGGTGACTACAGACTGTCCTTCACTAAGTGCAACAGATTTACACTCACTGTTTGTAACAGCATAGTATTTAGGCCTTCCTAGCATGGGCAGTTGTAAGCATTGTTTCATTTTGACATGACAGTGTGGTTCTTCTGCAGTCTAGGGAGCATTTGTTCATGAAAGGCACCCAGTTATTAACATTGGATGATCCGTGAATTCAGTGAGTTAATAATGATCTGCATCTTTGAGACATATTTGCATTACTTTAATAGATTCTTTAAACGCCAAACCTTTTCTAAACAATTATTTAGCCTTTCCTCATAAAATAAAATAGTAGATTCCTCCCTCCTTTTGTTTAAACATAGATAACAAAAAAACAAAAAAAGCATACCCAGCACCAGCAAATCCTCAGGATTTGTTCTAAGTTAAGGAAACTTTTTGGCAGTGACATGTTATCTGTCTTATTCTTTGAATTAACTGATCACGTTCTGTAATCTCACATCACAGGTCTTTTCCTGTACCATTCTATGTTTAAATTTTCATTTTCCCAAAATGTCAGAAAATGGAAAATTTCAGTAAAATATTGTTTTGTGGATAATGTTTTTGAATGTTGTGAATAGAGCAAAATGTGCATATGGAAAGATAAGTATGTACATATTTTTATATATTCAACTGGGCATATACTCTAATGCATATAGAATTCATGTAGCATATTGGAAGATGGATAGAGAAGGATATCCTCTCAAAAGATCAGCTTCTGGGATAGTGAATAATATACATTAAGTCAAATGAGGGAAACATGGTAAGCAACTCATGTCTCTGCAAAATAAATTTCTGCACAAAACCACAATGTTACTTGGTACAAAAGCTGTTGCTCTGACTGTTTCTGAGATCTATGGTGCCAGTTCTTCTTTGCAACACTGTGTTGCTGATAGCAGGTATAATTGTCTGACAAATGAGAAGATGGATTTCCTGAATTTGGGTAATACTTTGTTTTGCTAACTAGCAATAAGATCTTTCTAGCTCTTGTAAATGTATTTGTGAGCACTTCATGGGCTACTACATCTTCTACTTCCCATTCTAGTGCACATACAGGATGTGGTTCCTTGCTGGTTCAAGACAGTTTGTAAATTAAAGCTAGCAAGATTGACTTTGAATTGGGTACTAAGTTAGGAATAATGGCCATTTACTCATCTAGCTTTTTTTATATATCAGGGTTTTCCTATTATGAACCAATACAATGGAGGGAAAAGGTACTGTTGATCTAAAATACTACTGCTGCACAAAACCTGTGTATCGAAGGAAATTATTAGGTTTACCATTCTCCTAAGAGAAATTTAAAATACAAGATGGTAATGGATGGCTTTCTGAATGATCATACCTGTATCATTAAAACCCAAAAATCTTATAGTTAAAAATAAGCATTTTGAAGTAGTTCCCTAATTATTCTTTGTTGTATGATATCTTCCTTACTATATTGCTGTTCTTTTATGCAGTGATTTTATTTCAAGCAATCAAAGGTTGCTTAAATCTTAATGCTTAAATCAAGACTGGGAAAAGAGAGTTTGCAAATATGACAAGCTTGTGTTTTGCATTGCTGAGCTCTGGATTGCTCTTAATTTATGAAACTCCACTAAAGATGGCCTCTTGCTAAATTCTAAAGTGTTTCCATGTTTCAGAACAAGGTTACCTTTCAGCAAGTCACTTTTGTCAAAGCCTTGGTGTTCCTTCTAGACGTTGTCAGCCTGTCCTATGAGAATGTAAAAATGGTGAATACCATGGTCTGTTCTGTACTATTTATTTGGATTTCTGGAATTTAAGTGAAGCAAATAAGAATGTGTTTTTTTCTGACTAGGGCATAAGGTTACGGCAGGTCTATTTGTAGACAGCAGAAGTAAGTGTGCCTTAAATGGTGATTAAGACTTGTGTTATTCTTCTTTAAATGACTAACCTGGAGTGAGAGGTTGGATGTCTTTGGAGAACTTAAACCTGTTTCACCTGAACATGTTTAACTAGTTAATAAGAAACATCAAAAAAGACAAAACCCTGAGGTCAATGATCATTTTTTTGTAAAGCCATTCTATGATGTTTAAATTTGTTTTTTGGGTCTGTCTCTAACATAAGTTTAATAACCTAGCTCAAATGCAGATTTCTAATTTTCAATTAACATAGGAATAATTTTGTTTGCTAAAATAAAATAAATGAATGAATGAAAAGTCTGAACCATGAAATGTTCCAGGTAGCGCTTTTTAAAATTCCAAATTTCAAAAAATCATGTGGCAACTGTATAGCTCAAGCTTTAAGTATTAACTTTTAACCTTTGACCTTACAGATTTTAACCAATGAAATGTCTCTTTAAACTTTAAAGGAAACAATGATAACGAGCGCCTGGCGATTGCTAGACAGCGAATTCCATATCGACTTGGTCGAGTAGTTGATGAATGGCTACTCGACAAAGGTAAAAAACATTGATTAAAACTTCAAATAAAAAAATAATTTGAACATAACCAAGTAGTGCTTCATTGTAACACTAATAAACATAAAAAATAAATTTCAGTAAAACTAAATTTAAAACAAATTTTAAAAAGTAAAATATAGAGTAATATTTGCATACCTTGTATAATAATTTCTATACATTTCTAGAAGTACCAGCTGTTTAATAACCTTACCCTGTTAACTTAAGGTTAAAGGGACTGTTAAATATAATCCACTAACTCAATCTATGAAGGTACGCATAGCAAACATTAACAAAAAATTATAAATCGTTCATAGATTATATGACATGCTCCAGCATCTAAATTATTAACTAAAAATATACGTAGTTATGATATCTTCATTACGGTCCTGAAAAAAAAATTTGCTTAAAGTGTAGGTATCTTAAATAGTGGGCAAGATGAATTGCCAATCAAAATGAAGTCCCTTTAACGTTTGCAACCTTCTAAGGGGATTTTGGAACAAACACTAATTAAAACAGAACTTAAAGTTGTGTGCATGCTTTTTGTGAGCAGAATCCAATTTGCTAAAGTGACTTCTATTTACTAAGAGTGGTACTGTTGCTGAGGATTTCTCTGTTGAATGGAAATGTGCCATGATTTCTCCATCGGTATGTGTATCATTTCTGAAGCCGCTTTTACATCTAAAATCTTTTATTTTAATTGATAGCCTTGCTGAAAGCCAATCACACATCTATTTTTGAATCTGCTTCTAAGATACTCAGTGTGAACCATGTGTTTCTTTCCAGTGTGTTTGTTGAAGGAAAATAAGCATTTAAATACAAAAAGGAAATCTTTAATTAAAAAATATAAATATTTCATTCACTTATATAGAGATATGACAGATTACTGCATAACATCCTTTAAAAATTCTCTTAACCTAGTGACGTTTGCATACATATAAACTCTGTGTGTATACACATATTTGCATATGTCTATACATACATAAACTCATTTTAAAGCTGTAGACTTAATGCTGAATTACACGGAAAAATCTTTGGAATGTTGGCAGTCCTTGAAGAAAAAGTAATCTTAAGGAATTGCAATCTTGGCAACCTTGACACGCATGAAAAAGCTTAGCATTGCTTTCAGGTAAAAGGTAGAGGGGTGTCACTTGTAGTACTGAAAACATTTACGAATATATTTGATTGGCCTTTTAGCAAAAAAAAAAAAAAAAAAAAAGAGAAAAAAGAAAAGGGAAAAAAAAACGACAATATGGCAATTTTAGAACATGCAAATGCTCTCAAAATTTATGCATTTCATGGACACCTCATTAAAAAGCAATGAATTATGAGTCAAGTCTTTTTCTTATAGTTTATTGCTGTCATTATTCACTCCATGAAAATCTGTTATCATTCTTGTAGAGTGTTGTTTTCACAGTCAACATTTTTGCATGTATATAATATTATCTTCACAGGGCGTCAACTCACAATCTTCAATAGCCAAGCAACCATAAAAATTGGAGGCAAGGAACGGGGCCATCCTTTCCAAGGCCAGCTCTCTGGTCTTTACTACAATGGCTTGAAAGTTCTGAATATGGCAGCAGAAAATGATGCCAACATCGTGATAGAAGGAAATGTGAGACTTGTTGGTGAAGTGCCTTCCTCCATGACAACCGAGTCCACAGCCACAGCGATGCAGTCTGAGATGTCAACATCAGTCATGGAAACCACCACCACTTTGGCCACGAGCACCGCTAGGAGAGGGAAGGCCCCGACAAAGGAACCTATTGGCCAGGTTAGTCAGCTTCTTTATCTTTTGCAAAAGTTTTCACATCTTTTTGTATGGCTTCCTATATTGCATTCATTCTATGGATTCAGTTGTTCCCACTGAAGAAATGTCTGAGTTACAGATAAAAGTTCTGCACATGGCTCATGAGTGTGATGTTCATCAGCATTTAGAAGGAAAAGAAGAACTTTGCTGTTTGTCTAAATTAGGCAGATTTCTCAGTTCACATTTTTCTTTTAATTGCTTTGCTGTCCATCTTCAGAGTGGTGCATTTTTTAAAAAATCTGATTTCTTCCTTTGATGGCTAGTATTGACTATTTTCAGTGTGGAGTTGGATGTCTGGAATTAGAAATAATGAATCAAGTCATGTGTTTTTTCCAAGAGATAGAAAATGGGAATTGAACAGGAAGGAGGTGAGAAGACAGAAAAAAAAACCAAAAAACAAACAAACAAAAAAAAAACTGGAAAGTGGGAATTATCATTTCCCATGATTTAGCATCTTTCTGAGCAGTATTCCTCAGAAGAGGCAATGACTGCAAAGGGAATTATGACAACTCTGAACTGTGGGAGACTCAGGCTTCAAGCCAGAGGCAGCTGTTTACTGTTTGCTGAGGTTATTTGCATCTCATGAATTTAGAGATATATTTAGTAGCTTTCATGTTTTGTCAGGATCTCTGTATAATATGTAGGGGAATTTGCTTTTCCCTCTCCTTTTTCAGAAAATTTGGGTTGCTGAATTAAGAGCTGCTGCTCTGAATAACAGCATTCTGACTTCGAGCTTTAAAAATTTACCAAGACATTTCTCTGTCAGAGAAGATATTTTTAATATAATTATTCTGTGTGCTTGAAATACGTTTGAAAGAAAAAAAAAAACAACACTGACAAATGATTTTCATGTGTTCACTTGGTTCACATCCTTGTTTGTGACCCACTATGTGCCATGAAGCTGTGACAGCTACACTCAGAGAGCCAAGTAGGGACAAAGGCAAAGAAAGTGTCACAAGCCATAGGGAGGAACAGGAGCATGATGTGATGAATGAGGTTAATTTCCTCAAGAATGGAGGAGAACATGATGGTTACACTGGGAGGCTGAGGTCAAGTTGCCTGTTTTCTGTGTAAAATCTCAACACACTGTTTGAATTTGATCAGGGCATTAAACCTGACAGGAGCTTTTCTGTCTGTATTATTCACGTACACTTTATACAAAGGATTGGAAACTGGAGTGATGTAAAATTTATTCTTTTTTAAAATGAGGAAGAACGTTTGAGTTGAAAGTAAGCATTTAAAAAGTCTTTTTTACTTATCTTTTCCAGTAAACATGGTTTTATGCATTTTCCTTGCTTGCTTTGAGAATCCAAAGGAAAAAAAAAAAAGGAACAAAATGTGGCATGCACTGTAAGCACAGATTGCAGGCTTGTTTTTTTTTTTTAATTACTATTGCAGTAAGCTACAGTGTTTTTATTAAACAGGCAATAAATTTTCTTCATTATTAATTGTGTTTAAATAGCATCTCCCACTTCATTATCCAACTAGTCTGCTCGGTATTTTACTGCAATGACACAGAAGAAAACCAAATTTCCCAGAGAAAAGAGCAATCTAAAAGAACAGTGCATCCCTGCACAGTGGAAGAGTTTGGGTGAAATTGATGCTCCCTCAAAAAAAACTAAATTTATCCTAACAATTCCCAGCCACTTTCTCAGGTAACTCCAAGGCACAATTTGGGAGTAAGAGTGTAACAGAGACAGTTTATAGTTTGGACCTTGCATGATCTGTGTGTGATGGGAGTTTATTGGTACAATTGCTGTATAGGTTGGCATCAGTTGCCAGAAATATTTCCCACTGCTGTATTATATTTTTCTGAAGAGAGGAAATAGATAATTCTGGAAAAAGATCTCCTAAAGATCTTCTGTTTCCAGACTGCAATGCCTATGATAAGGTGTGGCCATTATCAACTTCATCTATACAGCTTTTTTAGATCACTTTGCCATTCCTTCAGCTGCTCCCAGCTGATCTGAGCACACCACAGTGCTGTGAGCACCTGCTTCCTAATGCCCCACCAGCACAGGGAGGTTCCAGGAGCATACGGATGTGCACAGCATCTCACCAAAGCACATCGCATGGGTGAAGGTTTACAACAGTCTCGCTCATGTGTTAGCCTTCCTAAGTCCTTGCTGCAGCCCATATGAAGTAAGTTGGTAGGAATATTTCTGTATCTAAGAGCCTGAAATCAGCCTTTCCAGGGGAAGTGTTCAGTGTTAATGTTGTCAAAGCACATGAGATCCTGAGTCTACAACTGAGGCCTTCTTGCTATTAATAATCCACAGTGGCTTGCTTCAGTACGTCTAAGCGCCCTGTCTGGTAGGATCTGTGTTGTCATTACAACTATACAGTTAATTAGTTAGGGTCTGCACTGTAATGTAGCTAGCAAACAGATCTATGGTTTGATTTGAAAAGATTGATAATGTCCCAAAGTCAAAGCTGAAATTTGTCTGCAGTTTCCTGTGTTATTCATGCAACAAACTCAGATCTAGGAAGCTACTAAATCAAATTAAGTACATGATTTCTTCTCTTCATTAATATCTGCTATCTTATTCCACCTGAAAGTAATAATTTATGTGCTAGTGCCCCATAGGACTCCCACGGGTCTGCTCTGCAGAGTGCTGCGTAATTACTTTGCATCTTGATGTCACTTGGAGATGAGGGCACTCATCCTCATGGAAAAGCTACTTTTACACTTTGTATTCTCTTTCATTTTTGTCCTTTACACCTTTTAATGACCTTTATTTATACATAATCTCTGTAAAGTTGTCAACTGCATTGACATAATGTAATGCATTAAAAGAAAAGTTACCTTTCTGGCATTAATTAGGTTACTGAGGAAAACATGTTGCTAAAGAGGAATTGCTAATGGGAAAAAAAAACCTTGCATTATTGCAAACCAGTCCATGACTTAATGAGTAAAAGAAAGATCTAATTAGTCAGAAATTGTTTGCTCCATTTGCAGAGGTATTGAATTCAGTTAAGGATTGCAATACTTAAAGAAGATAATTTAAATCACTTCTTATAGGAAATGTTCTTTTAAGAAACCTGCAAGGTTAGCGCTTCAATTGATGGAGTGTGTTCTTCTCAGCAGGTGTCTAACTAATGCAGTGTATGATACAAGATAGACATGATACTTACAGAATGTATGTTGACTGCTGTTGTGTGTGATTTTCAGCAAATGAGATCTTAGTGCTTCCTTAAACAAATTCCTTTCTGTTAGTGACTCTGCTCTCAACGAAGGTTTGCCTGCTTGTAGGCAGTGTCGTATTTTAACAATGGATGCTTTGGTGGTGATAGACAACTTAATTATTATACTTGTAACTGTAGATTTTCAAAGTGGAAAATGGTACGTAAGACCTATTGAACATCAATGATAGGTGAATGCCTCATTTTCCTTAGTGCCCTGAGAATCCCACCCTTCTCTGTGATTATAATAGCATCTGCAGCTGTCAGCCTTTGTGCAAGGCACTGCATAAACACACAGGAAGTGACAGCCTCTGCCTCAAATAGCTTGCAGAATGAGCAAAAGGTATTAGGAAAAGAAGAAAAGAGAAAAAAGAAAAAAAAAGGGGAAATTAGGAAGTTAGTGCAGCATTTCAGTGTTAAGCTATGTGCAGATTTGCAGTCATCATGGGAGGAATAGTTTAGTGCTTGTTTTTTTGATACAGACTCTTAAGATGGTGGTCTCTGAGCTCCAGCTCTCCTGTAGGATCACCACATGCTTATGGTAGACTCTTTAGAGAAGATAGTTTACAGGCTGAGCTGTCCAGTCTGCCACCAGTTGGGCAATTGATGCGCAACCAGCATCTGATCAGTGATCGATAAAAGGTTTTCTCTGCTTTGCCATTGACACTTGGGAGAACCCAGAGCCACTGGAGCAGAAGCTGAGAATTCCTGGATAGCTCCTCCATTCCACCCACACTGGGCTGGAGGAGGCTCAAAGCAGGAAGAGAAGACCACCCACCTCCTTTCTGCGAGATGCCCTACAGATTAGAAATATTTATCCTCTTTGACCTCTTTAAAAGTGTAGAGACAATCTAGTTTTTTGGAAGGTATTCCTAAAATGTGGTATTCCTTTATGTGTGAGTAAAGAAATCCCCTACTTTTAAATGCTGTGAGAATGGAGCTCCTGTGAAGTTAGAGCCTATATTGCTAACTTTGATGAGTTGCAAGTATACACAGGGGCTTAGGAATCATGAATTTGTTCTAAGAATATCATTTCCTTTATGAAGTTATTCAGCAAAATAATACTGTTATGTTCTTTCTTCTTTTTAACTTTCATTTTTGACATTCTCTAAAAGGCTCATTTGCAAGCTTTTCTATTCAAACATGAAGGTGATAAACTTCTTTTAAAACTGAAAATAAAGGAGATTCATATGTTGTATAACTCCAGGAGCCAAAATGTTAAGCAAAACACTGAGTACTGCAAGTCTTGCAATAAAAAATGCAGGAGTTGGCAGAAGCAGAAAGGCTTCAAAAGGACTTTTGAGTATGGGTTTTTCTTGAATGAAGATAGCACAATCAGGCCTCTAGTATCTCTTTGGCATGGCTATGTGGATCTATATTAACTGGCAGTCATAAATGAAGGGATAGTAAATCAAGAATAATATGGTTGTTTCTTATCAGTTTCTAAAGATGTGATTATGACAGCCTATCCACACAGCACCCCCTGCTCTCATGTGTTGGAAACCATTTCTGAAAGTAGTGTATAAAATAGGTTTTATTTTTTTAATCTTCCATAAGGGATTCTGGCAGTCCTCTTTGTCCTCATCAGAGTGGCTATTATTGATAACACTTAGCCACTTAACCAGCAATTAATTGCAATATATTGTGAGATGATTGCACGTTTTGGAACAATAAACCCTGATTTTTGGTCAAGCAAAATTAAATTGACTTTGTATTAAATTGATGAACAGAAATTTGGTCAGTTGCTCAGTAGGGCATACATCAGATGATGCATATGTTTC